ACAGCAACACAAACAACAAGGTGTGTTTTATACATGTTGATGACATATTTATTTAACATTATATAAACACTGAACATTGGGAGAGGAGGTTGGATTACTGTGGAGGGGGCGGAGCCTCTGGTGTGAGGGGAGGAGCCTCAGCTGTAACAGGAGGGGTCGCTGTTGAGGACGAGGGAATCTGCACCTGCAAGAAGAGAAATTAATCAAACACAACTTAACAACGAGACGCACAGGATTGTGAAGACGCTGCAATACGAAGTGTGATGTGGTGGATTAAAGAACAGATTCTTACGAGTCTTTCTGCTCTGTTGCGCAGCTTCCTCCACACTTTATGATTAGCCTAAAAGACAAATAAAGCAATGAGCACAACACACTAGACCCAGACAATCACAACGTGAGTGTGAGTGAGCGAGTGACAGAGAGTGAGTGAGTGAGTGAGTGAGTGGGTGAGTATTTGTGGGTGAGTGAGCGAATGATCGAGTGAGTGAACGAGTGAGTGAGTGAATGTGAGCGAACTATCAAGTGAGTGAGTGAGTGAGTACATGTGAGTGACTGAGCGAGTGAGTATATGCGAGTGTGTGAGTGAGTGTGTGAGTGGGTATATGTGAGTGAGTGAGTATTTGTGAGTGTGTGAGCAAGTGAGGTAGCAAGTGAGTGAGTGAGAGAGTGAATGTGAGTGAGTATATGTGTGTGAGTGAGTGAACTATCGAGTGAGTGAGTGAGTGGGTGAGTGAGTGGGTATATGCGAGTGTGTGAGTGAGTGTGTGAGTGGGTATATGTGAGTGAGTGAGTATTTGTGAGTGAATGGGTGAGTGAGTGGGTGAGCGAACGATAGAGTGAGTGAGTGAGTGTGTATATGTGAGTGTGTGAGTGAGCTAGTATTTGTGAGCGAGTGGGTGAGTGGGTGAGCGAACGATCGAGTGAGTGAGTGAGTGAGCGAGTATATGTGAGTGAGTAAGCGAGTGAGGTAGCAAGTGAGTGAGTATATGTGAGTGAGTGAGTGAGTGAATGTGAGTGAGTGAGCGAGTATATGTGAGTGAGTGAGAGAGTGCGGTAGCAGGTGAGTGAGTATATGTTAGTGAGTGAGAGAGAGAGTGAATGTGAGTGTGTGAGTATATGTGAGTGAGCGAGTATTTGTGAGTGAGTGAGTGGGTGAGCGAACGATCGAGTGAGTGAGTATATGTGAGTGAGTGAGCGAGTGAGGTAGCAAGTGAGTGCGTATCTATGAATGAGTGAGAGAGTGAATGTTAGTGAGTGAGTGAGCGGGTGAGTGAGTGAGTGAGTGTGTGAGTGCGTGAGCAAAGTGAATAAGTGAGTGAGTGAGCGAGTGAGTGAGAGAGCGAGTGAGTGTGTGAGTGAGAGAGTGAGTGAGAATAATTCAGTAATATATAATTCGTCATATCCACTGCAGATGTACGTACGGTCAGGTTGACGGGCAGCGAGAGACCCTGAGCCCTGCGCTGGACGCCCCACACACACTCTCCCAGCGTATGGACACTCGTGACCTCGTACTGCGAACACAGACCCGTGCGGGACACTAGAGGACCTCCGCTCAGCGTCACATGATCACCACACCTGAGAAACACACACACAGCGCTCGCTAAACTGTGTTGCAGAACAATATTTGTGATGTGTTTACATCCATGGAGAGTCCCCACAAAGATAGAAACCCAGTTGTGTGTGTGTGTGTTCACCTGTATAATGTCACAGTCCCATTCTGACTTTGAGCCGCTCTCTCTTCAACTTCCTCCTGTTTACACCTGCAGACACACACATTACTCTGAGATGATAATCTGAAGAAATGCAGTACATGCTTTCAGAATATTTCATTAAAATAACCATCGTGTTTCTCAATATTTTCATTTAATATTTTTTTCACCGCCTCCGAGAACATTTTCAGCATCCAATCAATTCCTCAGCAAAATCAAGTTTATGTATGTCACAAAGCAGATGTGTGTGTGTGTGTGTGTGTGTGTGTACCTGCTGTGAGAGAAGATGTCCAGCGCCACAGACGGAGAAACGTCCAGCGGTTCCCACGGCAGATCTTTACTCACGAGCTGCAGCGCTTCACGGGTTAAACTGCGCAGATTCTCCTGCAACACACACATTTTTAAATAATCAACAGCACATTTAACAAGGAGGATCTGAGATGCATGTTAAAAACTGATATCAGTCAGATATTAATAACCAGTTCTGACCTCTGAAGGAGTCCATGAGTCCAAACGAGAGTCCAGAACCAGATCACAACAGAACGCACCGGCGGTCACTGCAAACACACTGAACATCAGCTCTGACACACGCATGTTTCGTACCGAACCCAAAATTAATGCTTAATACACAATATCCAGGACACTCTGAAAGATGCGTTTCAGTGTCATGCAAAGAAAAAGGATTCATTCAAACTATAGTCTCGCATAGATATAGTCTCAAATAAACTGACATCATAATCAAATATCATAACTGTAATCTGTAATCTCTCTGATCAGACGCTCTCTGGACTGAGGTTCTCTCACCGCTGGCATTTTTCTTCTTTATTTTGTTATGCAATGCAATTCACTTCAGATAAAAGCGTCTCCCAAATGCATGAACGCACGTTTGTTTTCCCCGTCCCGAAAACACATCAGACCCCGACCCCAAACTTTTTTGGCATTATGTATGTGAACACAAAAAAATTGAGGTCATGATCTGAGCATGCTAAGTGGTCTTAAAAAAATAGTCACACTTGTGGTCTTTGGTCAAAAATGACCCCATAGGAAATGAATGGGAAATTGTAGAAAAAAAAAATTGTGAATATTTGTTTTTTGTCATTTTTTTATAAGAAATAGTTTTTGAGATTGTTTCAACTATATATACAAATCCACCAACAAAAAAAATGTGTTCATAAACAGCTGGGGAATTCACATGCCTCTCCATAGAGAGCTGCACATGCCGTCTAGTGGTTACACCATGATTCTACGCCTTTTCTCTATACTGTAACCAGATGGTGCTAATTTTCTTCAAACAATATTTTTTTTCTGAAGGCCTAGACTCTATATTAAACTAAAATACTGCATTAATATTTTTTTGAAGAAAATAATATATATAGAGAAAATAATATATATTTTTCTATGGCAAAAATAAACCATAAATATTGCATAAATATTAATAAATTCATTTAAATTGTCTCAAAATACTAAATTAAAAAGAATAAATATTGTAGAACAAAAATAAATTGCATTGGTTTTGGAGAAAGTTTCATTTTTAGGTGTCAAGAAGATAACAAGTGTGACTCCGAAACGAAGAGCACCTGAGGCACCTTTCATGGCACTCAAGGACACCTTACAAAATACATAAAATCCAATATTTGGTGATGATGGAGCATAATGAGAGATTTACAATCGATTCAAATAGCAAATTAGGAAAATGATTTTTAACACACAAGTGTGAAAAGGATCAGTCCTACCGGGCACTTCTGGAAGCTTCAGCAGCTCCACGCTGAACTCGTCTTTAAACGCGCCGTCGAGCACATGACCCAGAAGAGAAGCACAGGAGCGCCAGTACGCCTGACACACACACACACACTCATTATGCCTCAATGATAAATGACGCATTAAGGATTTAGAAACACATTCTAAAGCATCTATAAAGAGGCCATTAGTTTATGCATTAACTATCATTTATATTTATAATTTAACCCTCTGGGGTTCTTCAGGTCAATAATGACCCGAAGCGTTTAAATAAAAAAATGTTAAAAATCGTAGCTTCATCGGAATGGTCCGAAACTTTTTGGTGACTTTAATGGTACTTGGTATATGAACACCCCAAAAAATTGGGGACAGGATTTGAAAAGTCTAAGTGGTCGTAAAAAAATAGTCACACTCAGGAGGACCTTCGGGTCAAAAATGACCCGCATAGGAAATCAATGGGAAATTGGCAAAAATGTGAAAATACTTAGTTTTTTTTTGTGCATACAATCTACAAATCAGCAACGATCTTGAAAAAAAGCACACAACAGTGAAGGGGTGAATCTATAAAACATCAAGAGTGCAAAACAGACACATCCACACACACACACACACACACCTTTATACACAAACACACCAAAAAAATTCAGATTATACATGTGTTTTGCATTTTTAAAAAGCTCAGTTTGCCCACGAAATGGCATCCATCTCATTTCAAAAATTGCTTTTATGAGGCCTAGGCTTGACTCCAAAATGAAATACAGCTTTAAAAAAAAAAATTAAAAATATATATTTTTTTAAATATTTTTTTCTATTATATTCAATGGGGGGAAATTTGGTCATAAGTATTGCATTAATACTAATTATAATTTTTTTTATTTTTAAAATTTTCTCAAAACACCAAAAAAAATATTATAAACAAGTAAAAAAAAAATATTATGATTTTCTTTTTTTTTTTTCTTTTTTTGAGCTATGTTTTTATTGAACTTTTCTTATACAGAGAAAAAAAAAATAAAAAATAAAAGACAAAAATAAATAAAATAAAAATAATCAATAAAAAAAAAAAAAACACAAGCCCTTGACAGCACTTCAAAGAATACACCGCATACCAGTACACTATCTGCATTATTCATAAATTAACATATAATGATTTTTTAAATATGAATCCCACCCGACCCGAAGGCCCCAAGTGTGACTGTTAAACGAAGAACCCCAGAGGGTTAATGAAATATTGCATTATTGATATATCGGTGTTAAATTGATGTGTAATCTTGAATCAGCATCTCTTCTCTTCTCTGATGACGAGGGCGGGGCTTTAACCTGTCACTCACATGAGATCAGCCAATAGCAAACCACAACCATCCAAGACACAATCAAGCCCCGCCCACATGTGTTCTTGTTCCAGAAGCGTTTCTCTCGATATACGACACAATAGAGGAGAAACGACCAGTGTAACGCCACTGTCATGACGAGTTTAATCTTACACTGTAACACACACACACACACACACACACACTGACCTGATTGACTATCAGAGGGTCTTCATCTTTAAAGGTGAGGAGGGTGAGGTCGCAGGACCGGGTCAAAGGTCGATGCATGTGCCACGGTTCTCCATCCACCAGAGCCAGAACCGAACTCTTCACGTGCCACTCAGTCAGATCTGACACACACACCGCAGAGATTAAACACACACATGGATCGCTTCATTCAAATGTGTTCATATATATATATATATACATATGCTGCTCCACAAATAAAGGATTATCTCGTCCTATCGTGAAGAGACATGAGGTTTCAGGTTTCTGCCAGTGTGAACCGAAACATGATTCTTGATTCTTGTTTATATTTATGCATTTCATGCAACATTGTATTAAAACACAAACGAAAACGTATGCATGCTCTTAAAACAGTGATATGATACGACTGAAAAAGAATCAGATGAAGGAGATGCAATATATGCAATTTATAACTCGCCATTTTGCAAAACGTTTAAAACTGCCACCATATTGGAGACGCCGGTGATTCTCACGAGAGATCGACCGATAATCGGTTTTACTGATATTTTTACAGATATTTAAGTAACCAAATTATATTTAAAATTGCAATTATATGGTGATTCCCAAGAAATTGACCGATAATCAGTTTTACTGCTATTTTTTCCAATATTTATGCAAGACAATAATATTTTTTTTAAAAATAGCAATAATATTGGAGATGCTGGGGACTCCCACTAGAAATCTAGCAATAATCATTTTACCGATATTTTCCCGATATTTAAGCATTTTCCCATCATTGGGTATCGCTTTTATAATATCAGATTCACCAATAAATGGCCGATAAATATTTTGAAAATTGCGCGCAAGACTCTACTAGCGAATCAACAACAATGTTCAAAGGTAAAATATCTGGGTAAACTTAATTAATTAACTTTATTTAACATAACAGCCATTAATGCACAAATGAGATATGCAATGCTTATAATACTTTGTTATAACTATCAAAAAGAAATATCGGTTATCAGGCCCATAAACATGCATATAATTGTTGTGCGTGACACTCACGGCGCGTGCAGCTGTGTGGCGTGGACTGGCCCCGGTTCATGACGAGCAGCGCCCCCTGGAGGCCGGGCCCTCGCAGGCTCACCTCGATCTTCTCAGTGCGCGGATACAGCGAGCGCTGACGCCTCTGCTCCTCCGAGAACTGAGCGCTGCGACGACTGCGCAGATCGGCAGACGAGAGACGCGCAGCCGCCGCGCTCGACGCCAGGCCTGCAACACATCCAGCACAATATTATACTAAACATATATAAAGAGAGAACCTGTATTATACATAAAGACTAGCAGCAGAGGGAGATTATTCTGATTACAAAGTGAATATCTATACAGCTATTATTACATAAATTAATAATAAAAAAATTGAAGTATATTTCTCTAACACTTTACAGTAAGGTTCATTAGTTTACATAACTAAGAATGATACTTCTACAGCATTTATTAATCTTAGTTAATATTAATTTCAACATTTACTAATACATTATTGAAAATTAAAGGTTGTATTTGTTAGCATTAGTTACTGCACTGTGAACATGAACAAACAATGAACAGCTGGATTATTATTAACCAACATTAACAAAAGTTAATAAATACTGTAACAAATGTTTGGTTCACTGTTAGTTCATGTTGGTTTACACATTATTAACTAATGTTAACGAATGAACCTTATTGTAAAGTGTTCCCAGAATTGCAATATCATTAAATATAACGTTACACTGAAATTAGTCGTCATAAAACTAGATACTGTTAAATGAGACAGTTAGTTGTAGTTTTATGTGACAGACATCTTCATCATCATCAGTTTGTGTGAAGGTCAGTACGTTAGTTTGATCAACGGTGAGTTTATCATGATCCACTTACGGCGCTGCAGAATCTGACAGACTGCTCGAGAAGCCATGAGCGGTCACACGAAGACTTCCTTCACAATATAAACTGATAAAATATAAACTATACAGAAATGATTTCAATAAACCTGACAACTGACTAAAACCAGCGACATGCTTGTACAGTATCCGGCTGGAGGTGCAGCGATAATAACAGTCCGTGCGAGCCGAAGAACCCGGCGTTTAAGGTTCCGCTTTGAGTGTCTGATGTCAACAAGCTCTATAATAGTTACAGTCGTGTTTTAATTACAATGTATTATTAAACATCATCAAAGGAAATATATACACATATATATGTATAATATAATATATTATATAATATACCATTAATTAATTTGTTTGAGAAATTATGTAGGCTAGTGTTTGCAGAAATGTCATTTTGTAGTCCTAAAACTCCCTCAGAGATTTCCTATGAGTTATTAATGAATTGTAAAACACATTAATTCCAAGCAGCATACACTGAAAAAAATACCAATATAATTACTTACCAGTATTAAATATCAAAATATATAAAAGCAAATTATAACAAATTCAATCCAATTTAAGCGATATTTATGCATTTACAGCCAACAGGGAACGTTCTCTCGACATTATGAAGTTCATCCAGTAACAGAACGTTCGTTTAAAGTTGTTTCAAAACGTTCAGAGAACATTACTAAAGTAACATTCCCATAATGTTTTCATATTATAAAACGGAATATTTCCTTAATGAACGCTTTAATGGACCTTATTGGACGTTCAGAGAACATTTTTTTTTCTCTTTGTTTGTTTATTTATTAAATCTTTTTCTATTTTATTTTTTTAATTGGTAGAAGGATAATCGTGTGTTTCCACACGATTACCACACGTGTTTTTTTTATTATTATTATTAAACGTAAAGAGCATTACAATCAAAGTAGCAAAAAATTAAGATAAATAATAAAAAATGTCAAAAAATAATCAACAGTACAGTTAAAGTAATAAAAGAAAAAAAATAAAATAAAATAAAATAAATAAATAAAAAACATTTAATCACATAAACACATTAAAAGTAGAACAAATAACCACAGTTTTAACAGCTTTTTTGTTTTGCATAGAAGGGATAGTAGAAATATACTGTTCCAATTTAATAACATTTCACAACGTTTGCGAAACGTTGTTAGAAGGTAGTAGGGGCAAATCCTAGTCTCTGGTAGGGGTGAGCGGCTCAGTGTCAGCAATAGTGTGTTTACTAGTTGCCATATCAACACTATATAGAGAAAAAAACCCGCCAAAATCCAGAAGTCTTTGGAAGATATCACTGAACATACTTTACGATAGCAAAAATAAATGTCTTACTCATGCTAATTTTTCATCTCTGTTTTAGGTGTTAATTTAAAATTAGACAAATCTGATATTATTTTAATCTTATATAAGTTATTCAACAGACAGGTGAGATTAGTTTAATGCTGATCTCGCAGAACCGCAGACACACTCGCTGTTGCTCCGGCGGGGCATGTTGTCACACTGTTACAGTGAGCCCCTATTAGAAATGATATTCTATTCTATACTTTTATTAATTCTATTGAGAAACCATGAGTAAAAGCGTGAATAAAGACTGAGAGTCAATGTTCATGCCTTTATTATTATTATTATTATGTTTTGAACTATGCTGTATAGCTGTGTGTTTGTTGTCAACATTAAAAAATTAGCATATTTTATTTTTAATTGTTAAAACATGCCTTTATTTTCTATTATATCAACAAAAAATTTTAGTTTGTCTGGTATGTTTTTTGTTAGATCATTGGATCATGTTTTTTAAATCTTACGTTGGATGAACCCCACTGTGTGTGTGTGTGTGTGTGTGTGTGTGTGTGTGCGTGTGTGTGAGCGCGCGCGCTTAAATGATTGTTTTATCGTGAATGTACACTCAGTTATAGTCTTTATACACTGTGGAAGCCGTAAATAAAAGATTATTGATTTATAAGATTCAATCTTTCCACTTCACATTTTAATTCAACATGTGCTGTTTCTTTGTAATTATTTGAGACATTTACTAGCAATTTCTGTGAAATTTGTAAAAAAAAAAAAAATGTAAAAACCCTTTTTCCACACTAACATTTGAGGTCATTAAACTAAGATCTCAATTTTTGCTGTTAAACTTCATGCATTAATGAGACAATCTTGTGACGTGTTGTCATTGAAGTTATTATGGTAAAGGGTTTGCCATTTATGAGATTGCACTGGGAGTTTCCCTCGGATGAGGTTTGGTTTCTTTAACGGGGTCTTATTATAAATCACTCTATGAATCATATACGAACCCACACCTTTCCAAACAGAACAGCCTTTTAACCACAAACCATCATTTATTCATTCGTTCTTTCATTCAGTGCTTTACCGCAACTGGCAAACTAAAGGTGATCACAGCATGAGATTTTATTTAAATGAGTTACACTTTACAATACGGTTAACATGAACTAGAATGAATAATACTTTTACAGCATTTATTAACCTTAGATAATATTAAAGAAAACAAACTACATTATTAAAATCAACAATACATTAATGTTAACTAATGAAGCTTATTGTTAAGTGTTGCCTTTGAATGCACATATGACTTTTCTTCAGTATGATGAAGATGTGATGAGGTTAGCATGAATATTATGTAACACAACAATAGTAAATGTGTTCATTCACAAAAAAAGATCAACTTCATTCATTCATAAAAACTCTGATTCAACCCGTCAAACAAAGGAAACGAAAGTGAATGCAAAGGACAAATGGTTTCCAGTTTCTTTTTATTTGCTTTCACTACATATACAGAAGATGCCAGAATGATTTGACTAGACAGCGAACACTTTAACTGCAACAAACTCACCGAAACATTATTACTTTACCCTGTTTCTGATCCTCGGGTTTGTAGGTTTGTTCATCAGCGCAGGACTAATGCTAACGGCATAGGTGTTCAGTGATGCAAAACCCCTATCACGATTAGCATTAACCTCGAGCTGAGACACTGAGACACCGATACGAGATCCGGACCAGAACCTGCTGAGAGACAGACAACAATCAGAAGGACAATAAATCATATTAATGGACCATAAATCACATTAACAGACGGATGCATTTCTGAAAACACTGATCCATCAGATAGCTATTATAGTGCAAACCAATGTTTTCCCTTATTCCAATAAATATCTGTGCATCTCCTCCATTATCCACACATCCAGGGACTAAGATGAAAATTTCATGTCTATTCACTCTCGACTCGTGATGTTTATCATCAGGGCGTTAGTCTGAAACATCACTGTCTCTTTAAGAGTTTAAAGCCCTAAACAAAAACATCGCTGTCTCTAAGAGTTTAAAGCCTTGAACTGTCTCTTTAAGAGTTTAAAGCCCTGATCACTGTCTCTTTAAGAGTTTAAAGCCCTGTCTCTTTAAGAGTTTAAAGGCCTGAACTGTCTCTTTAAGAGTTTAAAGCCCTGAATAAAAACATCACTGTCTCTTTAAGAGTTTAAAGCCGTGAACTGTCTCTTTAAGAGTTTAAAGCCCTGTCTCTTTAAGAGTTTAAAGCCCTGTCTCTTTAAGAGTTTAAAGCCCTGAACTGTCTCTTTAATAGTTTAAAGCCATGAACTGTCTCTTTAAGAATTTAAAGCCCTGTCTCTTTAAGAGTTTAAAGCCCTGTCTCTTTAAGAGTTTAAAGCCCTGTCTCTTTAAGAGTTTAAAGCCCTGAACTGTCTCTTTAAGAGTCTAAAGCCCTGTCTCTTTAAGAGTTTAAAGCCCTGTCTCTTTAAGAGTTTAAAGCCCTGTCTCTTTAAGAGTTTAAAGCCCTGAACTGTCTCTTTAAGAGTTTAAAGAACTGTCTTCTTTAAGAGTTTAAAGCCCTGTCTCTTTAAGAGTTTAAAGCCCTGTCTCTTTAAAAGTTTAAAGCCCTGAACTGTCTCTTTAAGAGTTTAAAGCCCTGTCTCTTTAAGAGTTTAAAGCCCTGTCTCTTTAAGAGTTTAAATCCCTGTCTCTATAAGAGTTTAAAGCCATGAACTGTCTCTTTAAGAGTTTAAAGCCCGTCTCTTTAAGAGTTTAAAGCCATGAACTGTCTCTTTAAGAGTTTAAAGCCCTGTCTCTTTAAGAGTTTAAAGCCCTGAACTGTCTCTTTAAGAGTTTAAAGCCCTGAACTGTCTCTTTAAGAGTTTAAAGCCCTGTCTCTTTAAGAGTTTAAAGCCCTGAACTGTCTCTTTAAGAGTTTAAAGCCCTGTCTCTTTAAGAGTTTAAAGCCCTGTCTCTTTAAGAGTTTAAAGCCCTGTCTCTTTAAGAGTTTAAAAGCTGTGAACTGTCTCTTGAAGAGTTTAAAGCCCTGTCTTTATAAGAGTTTAAAGCTGTGAACTGTCTCTTTAAGAGTTTTAAGTTGTGAACTGTCTCTTTTAGAGTTTAAAGGCCTGAACAGAAACATCACTGTCTCTTTAAGAGTTTAAAGCCCTGAACTGTCTCTTTAAGAGTTTAACGCCGTGAGCAGAAGGAAGAGCTGAAGCTTGTGGTTTTCCTCAGCGACCTGAAACACATTTACCTGTTTGATTTCCGTTGTTCGTTGAGTTGATATATTCCTCTGCTTTCTCTTTCTCTTCTTTTGCGCGTGTGTTTCTGATATTCCACTGACTTTGAGAGAAAGAGCAGACTCTCTCTCTCTCTCTGTCTCCCTTCTTTCTCTTTCTCTCTTTCTCTCGGAGAGGTTTATATAGATTAGTGAGACTGTGACTCACACCAAAATCCCCACAACGGAAATTTACAAGGGGAAAACAGTCGATGTGCAAGTGGATTGAAATCAATATTTCACTATTATAAAGACATATCTAGGAAATCAAAACTATGAGCATAGGGATTTTCTATGATTGAGTTCTTGTTGATATTCCTTCACAAACAACATAGAAAAATCATTAAGTTGTCTATGATAATAATATTTATAGCACAGAGACAGAACATTTCATATAATGATGATCATTCTCATCTTATCAACCCGAAAAACACAAGAAACATTTATTTATGATCAATAGTTCACTTATAAAGCCGTATCTAATCAAAAGTGAGAGTAAAACTATGATTTTCTATGATTAATATTCTTGTTGATATTCCTTCACAAACAACTAAAGAATAATCAATAAGTTGTGCATGATAATAACATTTAACATAGAGTTTCAGATGATGATGATC